TCGATTGAGCCCCTGAAAAGAGGGGAGGGGGAGGGTAATGAACACTGTAGGTGCTGCATTTGCTTCTTAAAGCTTGATGTTAATGATTGAGTGGTCATTAAGCATTCATAAAAATGAGGCTTCGGCAGCCCCGGTTGCCTTTTGCCATCTCAGACCTGCTGTTGGCACTCCAGCTCCATCCTTGGTGTGTTTCAGCACACCTCGAGGAGCGGTAGGGACAAGTTCGGCGTGGTTCCGTTCGGCTTTCGTTGCGCAGGATGGCTTCAGGGCTTTCCCAGCTCCCAGAAAAGCCAGGAATAACCCTGGGAGGCTGTCGGCACAGCAAGCTAATGAAGTCTATATGCCAGCTGTTACACTCATTTTGCCAGACCCCAGGAGGACAGCATGAAGACAGTCAGTGATCAAAGGCTTCGGAGATCACTGAGGAGCCGAGCTGCAGGAATGTCTGATTGCTTTCTCTTGGAATGCCACAGGCTTCAATACCTTTTTTTTTCTGAAGGTGTCTCGGTGTGAGATTTAATGATCTAACTCTGCTTGCTCCCACTGAGGGGGTTTGTTAATTCGGGGGGGGTTTGCTCCAAGTTTGAAAATCAGGGATTTTTGTTGTCCTGACGGAAATGCTCTTGGGGAGCAAGTTAAAATGAGATTTTTCTTGGGGGTTCTGTAATAAATGACCCAACCTATTGTGCTTTGGGTGTTAAATCACATACAGTGTTATAAAGTGAGGTTGGATTCATTGATTCTGAGTCGCTGCGTTGAGAGAAACCCTGATTTCTTCAGTCTCCAGAGTGATTTTGCTCCAAGTGAGAACCGCAGCCAGTGAGCAGTGCTGTGCCCTGAAGCCACAGCGCTCTCCCTCTTTCCTAGGGCTTCTTGGAGAGGGCTGTCAGCTCCTGGAGGTGGAGTGGGCAACCTGAATAACTCCCTCTGTTCCCAAGCAGGCCGTTTCCTTCCTCCTCCTCCCCTTGCTCCGGCACTTATAGGACCTGGTGCGTTTGAAACCCTTCCCTCCTTTAGCTGCAGCTCACTGGAGGGCAGATGGGGTTTGGAGGGGAGCGATGGAGCAGGAGTTAGGTTGAAGTGGGATGGTGGTTGAATAGCTCTGGTGGCTGCTCTCACGTTGTCCTGCTGCTGGTCTGAGGTGGCAGGAGGATGATTCATGGAGCTAAAGCAGAGGGAACGGAAAGTACCAGGAAAAGGAGGAAAACCAACCGAAAAACAGGGTATGAGATAATGTTCTTTTTAGTAGTGACTCTCCCCTCAAGGGTGGGGATGAGAACTTCGTGGTCTGGTAAATAAGCAGGGCAGGGACTAACTAAACCATGCCCTTCCCCTCCACGTGGAGTTAGCGCTGTGGTTTATTTGGGATGACATCCCAAAGGTCGCAGGGCTGAAATTGTGACCTGGTGGGCATGTCCCCGCGGCTCTTTGGATCCCTTTAAAAAAGGATTTGTGACAAAAGAGGTGCACAACCAGAATGATGTCGTCTTCAGAAGTACTCTGTCTTCCCAATGATCTCCACAAGTACCAGGTACCTGTTTCTGGAGTGCTTCCGAGGGGTGGGAATCCATTGGAATGGTCGGGATGACTCCTCCTCTGGACGCAAGTCAGTTATCATCCTCATTTCCCTTGATCCATGAGCAACAAGTGGCTGCAAAGCTGACAATGAGGTCAAGTGCTGGGTGAAGTTAAATGGAAGATAACTTTAGATGAAGATGTCTTGGTGGAAGTAGGAAAAATATGGACCTCTGCCATGCCTGTGGCACTGTGGTCTTGGAAACTCTTTCCTTGATCCACAAAAACCGTGTCCATCTCTATTCAACCTTGAATATTATTCTTACTTATATGAATAACTCCTGGTACTACTGGTTTAATTTAAAAGGCTCAGAAATAGCCCCTTTTCTCGGTGACACTTCAAAACAGCTTTGCCTGTTTGACCCACCAGTGATGGAGATCCATCCTCTCAAGTGCGGAAGAGTGGGCAGAGTTCTTTCTGGGTGAGCTCACCTTGGAGTTTGAGACACTTCATGGAGCCACAGCTAACTAGAGGGCACCTCTTTCCATTCCCAGTCAGTCCCCAGTGACTGGGACTTGCTGTCAAGATGGGAATTTCATGGAATCACAGACTGGATTGGGTTGGAAGGGACCTTAAAGCTCATCTAGTTCCAATCCCCTGCTATGGGGTTATCGAGGTGATGGCCAAGGGGAAAGTCCTGGTTTTCCATCCCTGAGACCTTTTAACACTTGGATGTGTGTTAATATGCTATTAAAGAGGCAAAGTTTCTCCACTGGGTTTCTGAAGATCCCAAATCTATGAGCTCTAGTACCTGCCAAGGGGCTTCTGTAGTGACACCATCCGCAGAAGAAGAAGAAAGCATCAAATACTTGTGTGTTACGTGTTGGATCTCACCCTCCCCCTGTGTTCCTGTATCTACCAGTGAACAGAGGTTCCGGCTGACCCTTCACTAGTGGGTGTCGGAGCAACTTTCTTTGGCTGCCTGAGTGGTGTTGCTGAACAATGTGACTCCGATCCAGGGGAATAGCTTCTCTTTCCTTCCCTCCAGTCAAAGAACTTTGCTCTCTGTGGCTTGCTTTGTGTGCTCGCTGCTCTCCAGC